TTTAAACTATTCTCACATATAGAAAGGAGATATAGCTTCTTCATGTTCCATAACTGGTCTGAGATTTCTCTGAGTTTCCTCACTTCTCACCTCACAGGAGAACAAAGAAATAAAGCAGTAACAACAGAATACGATAAATTCAATTCCATCCGATATTTAAATACTTTTTTTGGTAAATAAATACTTTTTGGAAAAATCATTTTTTTTATATCTCCTTCCCCTGCTTCTTTCAAAAAAAAGGGATATAGGAATGGAAAGGTGGGAGGCCTATGCTAATTCATGGATACCCCTATGGTTGAAGGGACCCTTGAATATATAGTAGATAGAGGAAAGTTTTGCACTGACAGCAGCGTTTGCCCAGGAGATAGGACAATTGTTATGTTTTACTCCAACTGGCTCTAACCTCCCAAAACTAATAAGGAACCATGAACATGGAGTAACTCTGGGATTCTAGACTTCTCTTGGGTCTAAGAAAACACTTGTCCTAATCACTGATAAATCAAGCTTGTGTTAACTACCAGTTCAACTATGAATTCAATCCATCTTATTAGGCATACTAAGTGGTAGTAAGTACAATCACCATGAACATTTCCTATTTAAAACCCCTGCCTTTTCCTGTTCAGCATATCATCCAGTGAATTTCTTCACTAATATGTGTTCCCTTGAATGACTTTTTTTTAAAAAACTTTGAGTATATTTGTTTTCATTCATTGCTAATGTGTTGGTATCTTCTAAGACAAGGTTGGTACCACCCCATCTCTGAATCTTATTGTATTTTCTAGGACAGTGCATGCAGAGCACTTTGGGCCTCTTTTCTATTTCCTCAGGGTCAGGCTGACTTTCCTGACAACTTGACCCTGTCAAGTCTTAGGGCTTGCTGCAGATACCTTTTCCTTTCCTGACCTAGTGGTTTGCTATCCATCTTTCAGACAAGGTCCCATTACCTGAAGTCTTGATGATACACACTGCCAAGTTTCCCAGTCAGATTCTGAGTTTACTTACACATCCTTGTCTAGCAACCAATGGAGGCATAGTGGTCCTTCCACAACACAAGGTAACTAGCATGTCTCAGGAGTGCCTTCTATTAACCAGTTGTGACATGCTACTATTTTTCCTCAAGTACAGTTGTCATATGTGCATAACTGGTGTAGCCTTTGTAGTTCTTCAAGGATATAAGACAAAAGCTACTCTACTGTATTCCCTTTAACCTAACTAATATAATCTTTCCTTCTGGGACCCTAGCCAAGAGAGAAGAGGTTAGGACACAAACCTTTTGTGTTCTTCCCATCCATACTGTTCCCCTGTTCTTCCCATCCAAACTGAGAGGATCAGCTTTTCTTTTCTTTTTTTTATTTAATAATAAATTTATTTTTTATTGGTGTTCAATTTGCCAACATACAGAATAACACCCAGTGCTCATCCCGTCAAGTGCCCCCCTCAGTTCCTGTCACCCATTCACCCCCACCGCCCACCCTCCTCCCCTTCCACCACCCCTAGTTCGTTTCCCAGAGTTAGGAGTCTTTATGTTCTGTCTCCCTTTCTGATATTTCCTACCCATTTCTTCTCCCTTCCCTTCTATTCCCTTTCACAATATTTATATTCCCCAAATGAATGAGACCATATAATGTTTGTCCTTCTCCGATTGACTTATTTCACTCAGCATAATACCCTCCAGTTCCATCCATGTTGAAACAAATGGTGGGTATTTATCATTTCTAATGGCTGAGTAATATTCCATTGTCTACATAGACCACATCTTCTTTATCCATTCTTTTCATTTGATTTCATAGCAGATAGAGATTCCTTCAAAGTCTTCCAAGCTCCAACCTTATGACTTTCTCTAAAGAAGGAGTAGAATATGGGGGGAAAAGCTGGCTTAATGACAATGGAGTATAAATGGACAGGCATAAAGAAAATATTAAAGTCACATTACATGTGAAGGATCTGGAAGATAGTAATTATTTCAACATTTATAATTATGGTTATTATGCTGCCTAGACAGCTTATGACATGGCCAGATACCAAGTATGGGCTTCCTAGTCTCAGACTATAGTCAGGAAATAATTTAATCTCACTTGACTACAAGAGGTATCTGGATTATTTGCCAAACTTCTAGGATATCCACTGAAGTGCTACAGATGGGAAACCATGCATCATGGCTCAGTTAGAACAAATAATCCACAGGAAAAGAGGCTTTAAGAAGCTTGAGCCACAGAGATTCATTATTTTTAGTTTTTTGTATATATCTGGGAACAGATTTACTATGGATTGAGGGGAAATTATCACAAAAAGCTTGCTTTTCTTTATAAGACTTGTTTCTTAGATTTGATTTTTAGATTTTAAATCCCATTGTATCATATGATTCGTAACAAAGGCCAAATGCTATAAAACACTGATTCCATAGCCCTTAAAAAGGACTATTAGGATGAATTGTTTTGTAGAAAAAGAATATATACAACATATATTTTATTTGTGAATAAATATGAATCTTATCTAAGAATTACAAATGTATAAATATATATTTGGTAAAAATATTCCGAATGCATATGCTACTATATTTCTGTTATGCTATTTTAAGCAAATAGTTTGGCTAGCTATTCTACAGATTCACACTTATGATAAATCATATCCCCTCCATGCCAACCCAAACCAAATATTAGAATAATCAGGAAGGATTTGGGTATTATCCTTTACCTCCTAGATGCAAGTAATATTATTTCAATCAAGTAATGTGATTATATTATCAATTTCCAGACAGCTCTTTTCCAAAATTCAAATAGTTTACATTTACTGAATTTAAAGAACTAGCCCATTTTCTCATGTATCATCCACTTCATCATCAGTACTTTCAGGATGCTTCTCCTAAAGTATCTTGAATATTGCTGGATTCTTAGTTCCCACCATATATTCATTACCTGTTGTTTCTAGTGTCCTAGATCCGGCCTCTCTAGAAGAAATTCCTCCAAATATAGTGCTGTTCTGTCTTCCTATAGACCTCTAGTATATACCTCTGCCTTTATCATCAGCTCACTCAATTATTATGTGTTTACTATTTCCTCCATTATTTTCCTTTTTATATGTCCCTTCAATTATAAGTTCTGTGTTTTTAGAAAGTAGCTTGCTATTTTCAGTTTCCCCAAGACTATCCAAAAGTTGAATCATTTTTTTCTCAAATCCTAAAAATCCTGTACTGCAAATTAAGCTGGAAGAATAAGGCAAGGATAAAAATAGTAGAGCACGTGGTCCGGGTCAAGATAATGTTCCACTGAATAGAATTAGTCAATAATATGCCATCATATTCTCTTTAAGTGTCCAAGCGGAAAGTAAAAGTATGTACTGTTAACTGGAAAATATCTCATCTATAATGTATATTTTCCCTTAAAAGAATACTTTTTCCTCATACCTGGCTATCTGCCTGCCAAGTCTTAGCCCCTTTTAAGTCTCCAACTTTGGTTTCCAGAATTAGTTTAATCCCATTACCTCAAAAGCCTTCAGACCTCAGCATGTACAAATCCTATGGAGGATCATCTAAAGATGAGATCATCTAGCCAAGGGAAAATAAAATCAGAGCAGAAGTGTGGATTTGGATCATCAGAGGATTTGAATTGCCCCCTCCCCTTGCAATCCTCTGCTTTATCAAATTCCAAGAAATAATTTTCTGCATTAGCCCAGAAAATGTTGAGAGACAGTGAATGAAGTGTAAAGAATTTGGAGTCAGACAGACATGATTTCAAATCCCGGTTCCATAACTACTTAAATTATTTTGTAGAAACGGTTGTTTCACATTTCTGAGCCTCAGAATCTTATCTATAAAATTGAGATAATTTCTCAAAGTATTGCTGTGCCATCAGGACTTGCAATAATCAGAAGTGTTTAGCACATCCCATATCTGGCACATGGTAGGCATATAATTAGTAGTAGTTCTTTGTACTTCCCTCATAACTTTTCAAATCCATAAAATTCCCATACCTTAGCTCTCAATTCTACCACTAACCTTTTAAGATCCCAGGGTTTCCTGTTTCCAGGTGATCACTGACATACAAGCAATTTAACAGAGAAGAGGTTACTGGTACCCTGAAAAGTCTATAAAGTAGCCTAATTTCTTCAAATAACAAAAAATATTTTTGTTCAAAGAGCCCTAAAATGAAGTGTTTATTTGGGCTCCTTCCAAGGTGTCCTGAGACAGCAGCCCATGATAACTGTGGTTACTTTCTTACATGCCTCACATTTCACCATAAGTATTTTTAACATGTACCCACTAATGGGCTCTGGGTGTTACTGGATCCGCGCATCACCATGTACTCCTCAACGGTTGTTTCTTGTCTCCTTGCTCGAGACACTTTATAAGAATGATATAAAAAGGTTATAGAGCATGGCTGGAGAAATCATCCTACAGACAAAGATAGCTTACATTTCTGAGAAGTTATCAATTATATCAAAACTATTATCGATGCTATCAATTACATCTAGACACCCATTGCTAATTTTCAACAATCCTACTACCATCAGGGACTAGGACCCCAAGCAACTCAATATTTCAGGCTTTTCTTACCTCCTCTATAGAAGTAAAATTTTGGTTGAGCAGTCTCTACGGGCCTATGAAATCTCTTTCTTGAGACACTACTCCTATTGTCAGGAGGGATATGAGAATCTACTGAAGACACAAGTAAAGGAGAAACCTAAAGAAAATATTTTTCTGAGTTCTGTCTCTGCATGGAACTTTGCTTGTGTGAGCTCAAGATCTCTCTCTCTCTCTCTGTTCTACACTCAGAACTCAGGTATCTGCTTCCCAACTGGCAGTTCCCTCTCTGTGGAATGAAGGACAAAAGTCGGAAAACAACTGAAGATCCTTGGGGAAATGATATTGCCTAGAAGTGGGATGGAAATGAAGGGGAAGGTGAAGTCAGACTATCCAAGACACAGCTCTTATTCCTGGATTTTTGAAGAAAAGGAAACTAGGTGAACTAGTTGCCAGGACAACCGGCTGTTGGGGCAAGGAAATGGGAGACCTGTGGTTACTTCTGTTCCTGCCCCTGTCCCTGGCAGCCTTCCATGGGGTCAAAGGCTGCTTGGAATGTGACCCCAAATTCACAGAAGATATTAGGTCCTTGCTGGCAAAGTTAATACCCTCAGAAGTCCCCGGCCGAATTCATCTGCTTGAACGGCAGATTAAGGAGATGATCCGTTTAAGCTTCAAAGTCTCCCACAGGGACAAGATGCTTCGGGTGTTGGGTGAGGGAAGTTTCAGTCCCTGAGAGTTTTGTGGGTTAAAGGGAGAAGGGGAGGCAGGGAAGAGTGCACCTGGGTCAACATAATTTCCTCCACGGATGTAATTATTCCCCTACATGTACTTTTACTCCTCTCTAGCTGTTCAAAAGGTTACCAAGTTAAGAACATGGCTGAAGAATGAACTTTATAAACTGGGCAATGAAACATTTAAAGGTGAGCTACTGTTTCAGTGTTAAAAGATTGTGTTGCCCAAGCAAGTATAAGGAAATTTCACTGGGAAAAACAAGGCAAAACAATTAGGATTAAGTTCTGAAGGGAATACCCCTAGTTTCTGATGTCCTTTCCACCCCCCTCTTAGGTGCTTTTATCCTTCAAGGCAAGCTTCTCGATGTCCGCCAAAACTTGGAATCCAAACTGAAAGAGATATTAAAGAACTTCTCTGAAGTTGGTAATAAAAGATGTCTATCTAACAACACTGAAATTATGTGAAAGGAATAGGAAATAAGGGTGAGATGAGGAAGGTGGTTTCATATTACGTTATTTAGAATGGATGGAGGGGTGGCTGGAACTTCATGGCTAACCAAAAAAAAAAAAAAACAAAAAAAACAAAACAAAACTATTGGGTATAAATATGGCGAACTATGTTGATTATAGGCTCATTAGAACTTTCTGATTCTCTTTTAGCTTGTTCTGAAGATTGCGGTAAGTAAAATACATGAGATGCCTTTTAATTCAGTCCATATATTCCCATCTCATTTGCTCTATATGGCCATATCTCTACCACCTGTCATATTGAGAACCCAATTCTTAGAGTTGTGATTATGAGGGTGGGAATGCCAGTCAGATCTGACAACAAATTTATCTCATGAAATCTCAAACACACAGAGTTTGGAGGTGCTTAGAGGACTTCTATAGTATAGTTTATAATCCAAAGGACCAATATACCCTGAGGCATCATTTTTCCCACTTCTTCCCCAAAGATCTGACTTAAGTTACAGAAGGTTTTGACCCATCAAGAAATTTGATTGTTAGGGGAAGAAGAAATTCACAACAATATAACATTAAGAGTCCTGGAGATGCCTGAGATCTAATCCATACTTGATGCCTGAGCTAAGAAAACTCCATGCCATGGCCCCCTTCTGTTATTTTTCTTTTCTTTATCAGTCGTGATTGAAGGTCCTGTCCTGGATTGTTGGACCTGTCTTCGCATCACTTCCCGATGCTTCAGAGGAGAGTATTGTGGAGGTAACAAAGATTGTAGTGTGGCATTTGAAGGGGCCAGGGATCAAGTACTGAGTTGCTCGTTGATCTATTCTGCAAATATTTGGTGAGCACCTGCTATGCAGATCATGCTAATGTAACAAATCGGAGCGAAAATATTGGGCAAAATGTGTACCAAGATGAATTGCTGGGCACTGGATCAACTGAAGGGCTAAGAAATGAAAAGGCAGGACTGAAAATGGAAAAATTAGGATAGTGGCAGTAAGGGCAAACTTTTTATAGAGCCTAAGGACCTAAGAGTAATAAAGATCAGAATAACCAGAAAACAGTGATGGAAGCGGTGATGGAAGCAGTGAACAGAGAAAATTATTTGATGTTTAAAAAGACCCATCTACCACGAATCAAGTTCTCTCAAATTAGTATTTTTCTTCTCCCAGATTCACTTTCTATTTTCCTTTTTCTCCCTCCAGAAGAGGATTCAAGGAAGGCTGAGAATCGAGAGATTGCACTATTTCTGATATTGCTAGCAGAAGTTGTGATATTGGGAAGTGCTTTGTTACTGTGAGTTTTCCTCCCTCCAAACATACTTTGGGTCAAGCATTCCATTTGTCTTTGGCAAAGACACTGTCCAATCCTCCCCTACCTCCCAATGGCAATAAGGGGAAAGAAGTCATTTCAAAGTTTGGGATACAATACTGACAGGAATGAAATGGATGGAAGTTTATGGGATACAAGTTGGACCACAGGAAACAGAGGAGGTAAAATTACGTATGAGGAAACTCCTGGAGCAGTATCCAGAAAAAGAAGGGGAAAGTATGATTATGTAATTGTCTTAATGAGATGCCTTACTAATATTGAAGTTGGGATATGTTGTTTCTCTGCTCTAGATTCCATATCTGTGTGTCTCATCGGAGGAAAATGAAGGCAATACGAAGGTCATTAAAGAAATATTTGGAGAAGAAACTTGAAGAATTAATGGGCATGACAGATGACAAGATGGATGATTTTGGAATCAGAAAATAAATACACAGACACAGACAGGAGGTCTTTCACAATTCTCTTACATGTTGACACAGAACAGAAAACTCAGAATTAAGCTGTTTTGTGGTCATAAAAGTCATAGTATTTTAAAACTGAAATAGAGTTTCTCTAGTAAAGATCCTTATGCTATCCTGAGGCAATGGAAGCAGTGAGAGGGCAAATGATATACCCAGAGTTGTACAGAATGGAATGCTGGTATGTTGCAATGTACATAAAGATGATATACATTGCATAAGAATGCATGGTTGGTAACTCTCATTAGTGGCTGTAATTAGAATATTTCAATTTCTAAGGCTGCTTCTTAGTTCTTTTTACTTTGTTACTGCTTTTGTATTTATCATTTGGCTCAATGTGGACAATTTCTTTGATGATACAAAACATTTAATGTTCATCATGCTATCTCACACACACATCCAAAATATTAGTTTGAGTAGTTGAGAATTGCCCCATTATCCTCTAAATATATGCCCCATAAAAAATATATATATATATATATGTCCCATGACTGAATTGAATATTAATTTCTATTTCTTTGTTTCTATTGAATACTTCTTACATGGATGGCACCCTAATAAGTGCTTTATATCTATATCTAATTAATTCTCACAATAATTTTAAAATTTGGATGAAATGAATACTTTTAACACAAGTACAGATTATCAATAATGACATAAGAAGAAAAAAATAGCAATTGCTAATGTTCTTTAAGGAAATTTAAATGGCATGAGCACAACTATTGAAAAAACAGCCACGCTTAAGGAAAAGCCTAAAATGAAATACAACATGTTGACTTTGATGTTTACCTGGAATGCAAAACTATGATCTCTCCCCAGATTAAGTGTCTGGTACTTGGTTGTATCCTTGACTAAAGTAGGAAATACATGAGAACACGTCAGTTTGATGGAAAAGGCCCAAGATCAGTTTTGAAAATACAAAGTATTGACTGTATTGTACTATCAATAATTAATTCAGATATTCATTCATGAGTGTTTGAGTTTATATGTATGAATATAGAAAAAAGATCAAATCTAATGGAATGTGTTTCAAAGCACCTGAACAAATCAAGTAGTGACCATAAAAATATGACTGAGATTATCCAGGCAGAAGATAGAGAAGTGATGAAGACCAAGGAGAGACTACTACAAAACCCCACATGATGGTAAAATTTAAATATAACTGTTTTGTATAGTCTTACTCCTTTGAAAGACTTTGAGATGCCGCGGGTTGAATTCCCAACAGCTTTGGACTATGTTTTTCAAGTGTATGATTCTTATACCTGTGGAATTTACTGTAATTGCTTTATAATATAAATCCTGAGCCTGGTCTATCATTTCTAGAATTGCCAGGATGAGGAGGGGCTGGTTGTTTTGTGTTTTTATGTGTTTGTAATACAATAAAATGGAGATGATCTAATTAAACTGTGTTCATCTACTAGGAAAGGTCTTGTGGTACTTCTGTTTTCAAATGTAAACATGATACAAAATTAATTGCTTACAATCCTAATTTAAGCTTGAGCTAACAGTTAATATTTTAAAAAAGGATATTTAAGCGTTAATATATACTCCAGTGCCCTGATGTCAGCATTGCATACAGTTTAGCTCTAATATTACCGTAAGATATATAAATCAGAGTAAGATATTTCTCTGATAGTCTGAGACCCTTGCATGGATAGTGTATTTTTTTTTGTGATTCCATCATTCTTGGGGGTACTTTATTAAAAAATCAGTATTCTCCAAGGTTCTTTTGTCTTTTGGGGGGCAGGGGGGACAGAGGTGAGGTTTCACTTGGCTTTTACTAAATAAAAATTAAAAATTCATTTTATGTGGAGATAACATTAAAAGGTACTAGCCAATCTAGTTAAGGTACTTAAATTATATATTATTAGAACACAAAAACTATAAGCTAAATAATAGGGTTAATACTAGAAGCTTCTTAATTTCTAATTATTGATAGTCTTTCCAACTTTACTCCTTCACATTCTGACTCAAAAGGAGGTTGTATCTTCTTCCATCTCAGACAATTGCATTCTTTTGTGAATTATATTTCTTGAGCTACAGCTTCTTCTAGAATATTCCTTCATTATTTCCCATCACTTATCTCCCTCTGTTTCCTCAATACTAGATCTTTTTTCTTGGTGTCTATTAATATATATTAAGGCTTCTTTTTATCTTTTATCCACTTCTACCTACCACCCCAACTAGCTATGCCAAATTTCTTAAAATAACATTCTATATCTTATTACTATTTCCCTATTTCTGCTCTTCTCTCAATTCACCACAATCATATTCTGCTCCTCACCACCACATGGAAATTGCTCTAAGGTTGTCAATGATCTCTTAATTGTTATATTTAGAGTTCTCTTTATTCTTGAAATTACTTCTCAGTCTAAGACTTGTCAGAGTGCTAATGGTTTCCTTCTCAAAATACCTCTCTTATACAAGGCAGGTTATATTCTTAAATTTGTTCCTTTTTTCAAGGTTTTGTTCTTATTTTTCAATATTCTTATTTTTTTAATATTCATTTATTTATTATTTATGATAGACATAGAGAGAAAGAGAGGCAGAGACACAGGAGGAGGGAGAAGCAGGCTCCATGCCGGGAGCCGGACGTGGGACTCGATCCCGGGACTCCAGGATCGCGCCCTGGGCCAAAGGCAGGCACTAAACCACTGAGCCACCCAGGGATCCTCTGTTCTTATTTTTTAAACCATGTTTTAGTTACTTTTGGGAGGCTCCTCCTCCTCCTTTACCTACTTATTTAGATACTAAGCACCAGAGAATCTACTTTGAATCTTTTCTTTCTTATACCTGATGGAATCTCATACAGTCAAGTGATTTCAACTATCATCTAATAATTATATCTGCAAGTGCTTAGGCTTTTATTTGCACCCCCTTCCCAAGTCCCCAACCTCTGTTTGTGAATACATACTAGATATATCCATCTGGACATAAAAGACTGATTTCAAACTCAGTATGCCCAAAACTGGAGAAAATACGCACTGAATGTCGACTATGGGCAAGGCAATTCACTAAGCATTTTCATAATTATTTTCCCATAAATCCCACAAAATTATTTTTAGCAATTTTTGTACAAATAAAAACTGAGGCATGGCAAGTTCAAGTAACTTCTTCCAAATGGTTACTTGCTACGTGGTAGTCTGGATTCAAATCCCAAATCTTGAATGGCTCTACGGATACCATAAATCACCCAGAAGGTAGAAATATCAACATATGCTGGAATCCTCTCTCTTCTTCATCTATCCTAGCCAGTCAGTCTTCAATTAGCATTGATTTTCACTCCTAAATCTTTTAAATCTCCCTCGTTACTGCCACAGCTGAAGTTCTGCCCTCCTCTCTTAGGGCCTATTGCAATGGCCTTCTCATCAGTCTCTCTGAATCAAGCCTTTCCATAAGCCAAATCCATCCTTTCTTTTGCACTCAGAACAATCAGTCTACAAACACAAGTCAATTTCAAACTCCTAATTAAAATACTCCATGTCTCCTCCACTCCTAAAAGAGAAATATAAATTCTTTCATACAATATTTCAACATGCCTTCTATTTTACCATCTCACTCCATACACAATCTCACAGCTGGCCAATTGCCATCCTAGGCCTTCCCTTCTACTTAGAGTTTGCCCAATATACTGGACTTTTTCTTACTCCAACCATTACTTACTTAATTATTTCCTGTCCTGATTGCCTTGTAATATTCCTTAGCCTTCAAAATCATTGGGCTTCAAAATCCACACTTAAAGCCATCTCATCTCATATAGTCTTTCCTGAGATGGTCAAACCAAATTACCCATAACTTTCAGGATCCACTATAATCCATATACTTCTTTTTATTAAGATTTTTTTATTTATTCATGAGAGACACAGAGGGAGAGAGAGAAGCAGAGACACAGGCAGAGAGAGAAACAGGCTCCCTGCAAGGAGCCTAATGTGGGACTCGATCCCAGGATTCTGGGATCATCCTGAGCTGAAGGCAGATGTTCAACCAGTGAGCCACTCAGGAGTCCCAAATCCATAGACTTCTATAGAGCACTTTTCACAGAGGACTATTAGTGGTGTGCACATCTCTTTCCTAGACATGAACTCAAGGACAGGGACTATGCCATATTATCTTCATATTCCCAATATCTAGTAATATATCACAAAAGTTTACATTAGTTTAAATATCATTTACTCAAGGAACATTTTCCTGACCCCCCCCCCACCTTATATTCGTACTTCCAACTATGTTGAATCACTGCCCACTCTTTGTTTGGTAGGAATTAAGGGATATTATATAACCATGAATTAAGTCTGATTCCAAGAGGTCAGAAATCAGATCTGCTGTTTGTGCATAGAGTTCTTTGTAATACCTGACACAGAAAAAAAATGAATGTTCATTGAATAAAAATATGAATATGTAAATGAAGCATTGATGAATGTTGTTATTTGGAATTGAGTATATCCTAGATATTCTTAATATTACCACATATACTTTGTCTGCCAGATTGCCTACGATAACCTCAGTCTTTATCTTTGAAACACTTTGCAGCTTGATGTTCAACATTGCCATGAAATTATGATATAAGAACTACCTTAACATTGTTTGGAGTGAACACATTCCATGGAATTTTAGATCAGACACACAGGTTCCTAGTGAGAAATCTAGTTTAAGGACTATGAGAAGTTCTCAGCACCTTCACGTGTACATCAGGAAAGCTTGGTTGACTTTGTCCCACCAGGCTTCCTCACTGCCAACTGGACCAGAAACCTGAAGAAACCCTAAGCTTTCTAAGAGTTCTCAGGATTTTTGACATTGATCTAAATCCAGAAATCATGCCAGAGATCAGGAAACTGAAGTATATCCCCTCCCCCCTCCCACCGGGATTACCCTCATTATGGGGATGAGGTGGAAGATGGATAAGAAGCAGTGGAGATGTTGGCATTTAGGTATCTGATTGTCTTAAAAGTGATAAACGCAAGAGCTCTG